CCTTGGTCATCTATTAGGTGTATTTTCGCATCTCCGCGTTTGGTTGCTACATTTGTGCACTTTGTTCCATCAGCTAGTTCCATTGTATGCGATTCTGCTCTGAAGCCTTTTTCAAATTTAATGAATTTCGACTCGTCTGTAATAATGTGCGAAGAGGCACCTGTGTCAACTAGCAAACCATGTTCGTTAATATCTGTTATGGTTGTTTCGCTTATCTTAAATGAGAATGAATGGTTCTCATCATCATCACTTTTTGTTTCATTTGTGGTTTTCGCGTAGGACTTTTTCCTTCTACATTCGTATGTATTGTGCGTTGAAGTTTTGCATGTTTTTGCACCACTTTGAGCTTTGTTTCTTCTTTCTGAAACAGTCTTTGGCTATGTGGCCAGGTTTGTTACATTCGTAGCACACAAGTTGCTTCATTTGATGCAATTGCATGATAGAGTCGTTACTCTTGCCGCTCTTTTCATTTTCCTTAAAGTTCTTTAGAGCAACTCTGAATTCTGATAGTGTTGGCTGCTTTTCCTTCTGTGTTATAACAGTATTAAATGTATTGTATTTGTCTGGCAATCCTTTTAATATCATTGATATTAAAAGTGAATCACTCACCACTTCTCGGGCTGTCTTCAACGATACTCCAATTGTTTCAGCTCGTATCACGTAATCAGTGGTGTTTTCTCCTCTTTCCATCTTCAATGAACACAATTTTGAATACATAGTTATTATTCTTGGTTTACCTCTGCCTAGGTAGTGTTCTCGAAGGATCTTTAGTGCTTTACGCCCGTCATATTTTGCATCACGTATCACCAAAGAAAGAGATCTATCGTCCAAACGTTGGACCAGCTCAGCAAAAGCATTTGCATTTTTGTTTGCATCAGGAGGATTCCCATCTCCTGGATTAATTACGCCATGTAATTTCTGTAACCACATATAGCCCATAAACTTTACTTCCCAAAGTTCATACTGAGACTCATCGCCGTTAAACAATATTCTTCTGGGCCCATAACCTGTTAGATTATGAGTAGCCATGCTTGGAAGCAAGACACGCAACGACGGATAACAAGTAATAGATACAATAAAGCAGTATTACAGGAGAACAACAACTAAAATTTATTCACAATAACATTTCAATATATACAGTACATAGGTAAATGGTGACTGGTTACTTAATTGATATGCATAAGGGGTGGTGCTTCCCAATCATCCCATTAGTTAGTGGGAGATACTCAGTCACACAGGTGTGTGTATACAGTTGACAGCTGACCTCCACTTAGGGGTAATTATCTGTTGGTTCCCAGAGTCTGGCAGACATACAGGGACAAACTAATGAAGGCTATTTACATTGAAACCCATTAAATCAAAGTTAATAATAACATGGTTATAAACAATAAGAAGAGAGCCTCTTAACAGTATGACAGTGTTCTCCCGAAGCCGTCTTAGCCGTCAATTTTACCGGTAAAAATAACCAACCAACCAGTAAAAATTTTGAGTTTGTAAAATAAAAAAAACTATTGATTAGGCTTAGGTAGTCCAGGCTGGCCCTCTTAATAAATTAACATCATTCCAGTCTATATCTACACTATGAATATGTGTTGTGTCTTCAAGTCATTTAACACAACTAAAAAGGGGTAACGTACCTCACATTGTGCGCATTGCATTTTTTTATGGACAAATTTACCAGTAAAAATGTTTCAGTTGGGAGAACACTGCTATGCACACTTTCAGTTGTGAATGAACTATTGTCCTAGGCCTAGTTCTAGTATTACCATAGTGATATTGGTATGCAAAATGAGGACATATATCTTAACACCCCCACTTGTTCTCATTTTACAGACATTCTAAGTCTAAAATAATATA